TTTAAAATTAAATTAGGCTTTGTTTAACAATTTAAACCGTGTGAAATTATCCTGGCGAAGACGAGGGTCGGTGTTTTACCTCACCGTTCACACGACATTCCCAAAGGCAGCAGCGGTAGGCATGTGCCTATGAGCTAATTAGCGGCATCGACTGGCCGCTGTAACCTGACCTGTCTCAGCAAACATTTGGCCTTACCCTCACGGCCACTTACCATGGCTAACAGGACGGCCTTGTCACCTGTCTTACTCGTCAAACACACGTGCCCGGCCCCGGGGCCCCTACAGGGCACTTAGCGACCATGGAACCTCTACGTGAGGGATGGGGGGGGGGGGTGGTGAGGGATTGATGGGGGAATCAGCACTGAGTGTTGAGGGAATGGTCAGAGGAAATGTGACACAAAATCTTTTTACTTACAATTCCGATGTGGCTATATTTGATTTCAGAAAGAACGATAAGTTTTCAAGCATATCAGTGGGCAATGCACCTAACATGTATGGAGGTCCTTATTTTGCTTTCAGAAGACTGACGTACACAGCAGCTGCAGACCATGGAAGAAATTGTCAAAACCGAATGGTTCACCCCAACTGAAACCAATGGCTGGTGACCATATGTCCAGTAAACGGCTATCAACGACATATGAAAAGACGAAACGCACCCGAGTCCACCGTACCAGTTCATCATTTTCCAGCCCGACAGCGCCCGAGCGGAGCCATTGTCCACAGTCCCCAGACAATGCATCATCGACTCTCGATCTTCCACACAATGCCAGGAAGTCATAGAGCGCGGTCCAGCCAAGGCGTTCTTCAGATATAAGCGGCACCGTTTGGCCTCGGACGAATCAACAAAGACCGAGCACGAACGCTGCCCACGGCTAAACGAGACAAGCTTTTTGTCCGCTTTTGACAACAAAGGCGCCTTCCTTCGCACGTGCGGACTCGTTATTCGCAACATCGCCCTAAAAAATGCGTGAAAGCCACCCTCCAGTTCCGTTCCTAAACAAGCTACCTCCCCTCCTTGAGCGCATATTCACGACTCAGCCGACGCTCTTCACCCAACCCCGTTTTTGCGCGAGTCCCCGCATCCAAACAGGACAGGGTTCGTCGGATCGAGGAGCTATGGCCATCGACCGGTGGGCTGTCGACCGATCGGCGGGCGGCAGTAGCCGACGGCGACCACTGGGACCCGAGCACGGCGAGTGCACGGCGAGCACGCCGCCACGGCCGGTCACGCGACGGGAACGGCCCACGGGACGGGACGCGCCGCAAAGACCGGGCAGCGGGAGCTTGGTTCAACTCAGATGTTCTTGGAACCTACAATCATTTTTCTGGCCCAACCCTGGCAAGGTCTGGACTGGGACAAGTCGCCTGGACAGGGCAGCGGGATTTTAGTCCTACTCAGATGTTATTGGAAACAACAACGCTTTCCCGGGGCCTTTCTACCCCAGCAGGGTGTTGACTGGGACCGACCGTTGGAACACGCCACAAAACATCGGCCCAGAGCGACTCTGGCTGGTACTTTGGTACTTTCACCCTCAGTCGATCAGTGATTGGTCCACCCACACCCGCAGGGCTACCACACGCGAACTGGTGGCAGGGCAAGGGTCACGTGGGGTCTCCTGTGGGCTGTGCGGTTGCAAGCGTCCCCGGTATGTATCACGTGATCTGAGTTCGTGTGCCATTTGGAGGATGGTGATTGGTGGTTGCCAGCCCGATATCACTTTTGGACTAAATGACTTTGCAGCGTAATAAAAGGGAAGGTGATGACCCCAGAACTCTATCTATAGATAGGCAGAGACGAAAGTAGAGCAGTGAGCTTGATCGGATCAGTTGCATGGGTCACATCACATCAAAAACATCAAAAACGATTACAATGAAACGCTGCGATACATAAAAATCAGAGCCTCTCGCTGAAATAGAGCATTCATTCAAAAATGCCGACGGCGAGAATATATCCACGATAAAAAGACCCACGCATCCAGGAAAATTCAAATATACAAAAGGTACGATAAACCCGCACACTTCTACTTCATCGAAATGGCACGTGTGGCGATGAAGAATGTCAGAAAAGTCTAAACGAAGCAATCAGCTTCATGGACATTAGACAATCGCCCCAAGAATCGTTTAGTCGTCAACAATTGACAGATCGCGTCAATTATAATTAACCGTTAAAAACGCTTACGGTAAGGGTTAGTCATCAAAAATACTTCTCAATCAACATTCCTATGAAGTGAATAATCAATCTACAAGACGTCACCCATGACGTCAGTGTGATGTCTGGCTGGGCGAGCCCTTCTGTGACGTGACGTCATAGTCAGTCCGCTCGAACCGCGCAGCAGGCCACTTTCCTCGTCTGTCCCATGACATAACCGGTATCCACTGGCCGTTGACGATCTGACACAACTGTCAGGTGCCAAACCAACTCGTTAGACCCACGAATTCCGTACAACCGCACCTGTCTGCCCCAGCCTCAGCCGATATATGCATACCGCACCCTTCCACTCAGTCCACTGTGGATAGTCCACCGTGCCAGAGACGACGTAGGCGGATTCCCGAGCCGGCCGCCGCGGCGCGAACAGCGAGTCAAGGTCGCCCGGTGTCAAAGGCGGCACAGACGGGGCCGCGGACGGGGAACGGCGGTAGTCGGGCCATACGTCGGCACCTCATTACTCAGTGATACGGGTTACAGGTATGTAGGGAGACCGAAGGGTTTTGGGGTTGACGGAAATGTCAATGAGCCGAACCGTATTGCGCCTGAATTTTTGAAGCGGGAGTTCAAATAGAGCGATGGGAGTGAGCGATGAAGCTTTGTAGTAAACGACAGAACAGGAATGATGAGCAATGAACATGCTTTGACACCCCCTGAAATACAGCCGTCGGTACCCGATCCATCATACGCCAACGTATGTTGCAACTGGGATGCTCCAGCAGTCTGAGTCCCACCCGCTACCATTGTCAGAACCCGGTGTCAGAACTCAGTGTCAGAGCGTGTCAGTGTCAGTGTCGGTGCGTGTCAGTGTCAATGTCAGTGTCAGTCCCCCGTGGACTCACCTCAGCGACCAGTCGTCCGCCGCGCACCGTCACACCGATACCGGGTCGGAACTCCACCACCACGCCCGGCTCGACCTCGACCTCGCCCGTCTCCGTGATAAGCACATCGCTGCTGGCCACATACGGCGAGTGGGCCCGCTCCCAGCGTGTCCGCTGACTGTAGATGCCTCCCACTTCCGTCTGTGCCGACACCAGCACCAGCGGCACCACCAGCAGCGCGGCCCACAGCGGCACCAGCTGCCGCGCCGCCTCCTCCATCACCAATCGGCGCACGTCCCTGCCGTGTGCTCCCAGGAGCGCGCGCGGCCACCCGACACTGCCCGCTCGTCCGACCGACTGCCCGGCCGTCGCCGACGACCAACCGCCCGCCCAGCGCCGCCGGTACGCAGCGGAGGTTTAAACGTGGTCACGTGACCGGGTGACGTCACAGAGCGGCCAGGTAGGGCGCTCCAGTGTCCAGGTGCGGGGGCTCGGGAGCGACGGCCGCTCGCCGCCGGCCGCCCTGCAGTCGACGACGCACGAGCGGGAGGGGCTCGGGATGTCTGCAGCTCGCAGGGACGACGGCGGGCGGAGGGGGCGGCGCCCCGGCAGGTAGGCACAGGTGCTCTGTCATGCGCGCGCGGTGCCTCCGCCGACTGCAGGGAGAGAGAGAGAGAGAGAGGGGGGGGGGTGGGATAGTGGTGAGAGGGGAGGAACGGGCAATTATCGGCGGAACGACCCGGCACGGGCGGGCGGACAACAAGGGGACTCAGACAGGGAAAGGCAAACACGGGGAGGGGAGGGGTAGAAGGATTACGGGTGATGTGGAGACCGATATGACAGTGACATTCCTAAGAGATATAAATGTGATCGATCGATGTTTTTACTTTCGATCGGTGCTTCCGTCTTAATAATTTGTTTTCTTCTCCTAATTTCAACACCAAAGGACAATTGAAATTGGTTCATAATCGTACATAGATGCGACATTGGTATCGACCATGAATGATCAATGATCATTCATACTTTCCAGCTGTTAGCTAGGTCCTGTTTTACTTCACGCTTTGAGTGAGAGTTTGAGTGAGACACGTCGAAAACACATTTTAACGAATGTGAACACAATTTCCCTGTTTTAATTTTCCACTTCTCTTAATGGGTGCATTTAAAGACATTGAACACATTTTCAAAAATGACCGGACTATATTTGAAAATCAGACGGCGCAATTCGCAGGTACCCTTGATATGTGCCTTTCAACCATTGAAATCAGATGCCACCAATTCTTATGCATCGGTAGCATACCATACAGTACAATATGCACCACAAAAGAAACAAATACACCATTACAAATTACTGGCCGATATCAAGCTCCCTGATATTGCAAACACAGTTACACTCCCTCGAGCTGCAATCGCATGCCCGTCCAATCCCTGAGTATTGCGCCAGTGGCGACATCTATTTCTCCAGCTGCCGGCTCCCTGGCGGGGCTGTCCAGAAGCCTTCATACGTGGCGCCACTGTCGGACAACTCGGGGACGGGACGGGCAATCCCGTCTCGACGCTGACTAGCCGGACTAGCTTTACAAGGCAAACGCTTCTGCGCTACTGGCGTATATGGCGTCACATTGGCGAGCAAGGCTTCGACCATGCCTATTTAGAAGCAAAGCATGACTTTCAAATGCCCACCTTTGGGTTTTGCGTAAACGACAAAAGTATTGCAAACGATGAATCATCGAGCTGCTACAGCTACAGCCTTAACAGCAAACAAAATAGCAAGCATAGCATAAAACCAAGCAAGCAAATGTTCGCACTTCGTATAGAAGCAGCACCTAGCTTTACAGAAGCTTCTCCATTTATTTCATTGCCTTATGCACCACAGCCGATTCTGGGCTCGAACTAGACTAGCATTCTACCGGGCTCCAACACGAGCCACACTACTAGCGCCCCCACTGCCCACCCGCCCACCTCAGCAGCGCCACCTACTGGCTCTGTTCATCCAGCGCTCGGACGGCGGTGAGCAGGGCGGGAACGGTAGGCCGGTCCGGCGGGCTGGTGCTACAGTGCACCAGAACGAGACGATCGGAGCCGTCCACTATAAAGTCGCCGCCCATCTGATGAGGGTCGTCCTCTACACCCGTGTAGGCGGCGGGCAGGGGCCGGCCGGCAGCCTTCTGGCCGCCGTAGTACTGGAGAGTGCTGTGCTGCCATACCTGGTGAGAGGAAGGGGAGGTGAGTTGAGAAGACAGAGGGGAGGGAAGCTGAAAAGAGGGGAGGAAAGCTAGACGGGAGGGGAAAAGAGGAAAACCGGCGGGGTGAAGTGAGTTGTGCGGGATCCAGAGAGGGATGGGTTCGCTAGATGGGATGGAAACACGCAAAAAGCCCCCATGACTGATGACAATACAGCTACTTCCAATAAACGAATATTTTTTACTATGTAAATTGTAATTACAAATCGGTCAGCGAGTACCGACTGCAGTTAGAAGCCTGCGACCTAACACCGTTCTGTGTCTAACCGACCTCTAAAGCGTCATCCCACACCATCTCCACCGCACCCTACGAATCCGACCTCCCGTCGACTCTGTATGTAGCCGATCTATCCATTCACACAAACACAGCTTCCCGGCCAGCGGCGGCTGAGCGGACGCCCCGGAGGTATCGGGCCGGTGTCGACCACAGATGTTCCTTCCCGGGCTCAGTTTAGAGATCCACATGTGACCGCGGCGGGTGGTGTGTGGAGATAAACCGTCTACTGACGGTAGGAGCGGAGAAATAACAAATGCACCGGAAGGTGTTGCGGGTGGGTAGGGATCAGAGAAAAATAAACAGCAGGGAGTGTGCCAGACTGAAGACGGCAGACTAACACGATAGGGGATCGTATAAGGCGAAAAGGCATCGAAAATGAAGGTAGAAGGTAGAAGAGGAAATGGGACAGGTTATAACTAGGACAAAGCAGAAGAGTGAGTGAGCGCTGTCAAAAAGGAAAATTAGCCATAAAAAAGGAACACCAGCCCACTTCTATTCCCCCGTAAGCGAATAATACGTAGCCAATCAAAAGTGAACAGAAATTCACGACAGTCATATTGTCAATAATGATCTACATCACCGCTAACCCAGCGGCGGTCGGTATATATACCCCTACCTTGGCGATGGACCTGGCCAGTCCGAGGGCGCGGTACAGCTGCCGCTCGGGGTCCAGCAGCAGGGGGAACTCGCAGCCCGTATCGGCCAGCCAGCGGAGCGCCCCCTCCCGGGCGCCAAACGAGACCACCAGCACAGAACAGCGCAGACGACCGAACTCGGCCTGTGGAAAGAGAGGAAGTTAGGGAATAGGGAGGCATTATACCGGTCACGGTACCTATCACGCTACATTTACAGCACAACGTATACACATGAATGAGTCATGACAGTCACCGGACTGACCGTGCTATCTTAACGGGAGAGACGACGGGAGGGGGCACACATCGAATGTGTTTATCGGTAGCCAACACATACACATGAAAACAAAAATAGCTCATATCCAACGCTGACAGATACGATAAAGGGCAACCGAAACACTAGGGCTATCGAACGGTGCTTCGAGGCCGGATGGCAAAAAAAAAACAGGACAAAGCCCCGGGATGTCAGCGAACACAGCATTACATAGAAGGACCGCTCATCTGCCCATTTCCCACCTTCTGCTGCTGTATCTGTGCCACGTGATCTCGTCACGGAAGTCAGGCGAAGTGGCGGAGCAGCACCAGCAGCCTAGTTCCCGGTGTGTCCGCCAGGCGGCACTGCTGTCCGCTGAGCGCGTCCGTCAGCTGCAGAGAGCACGGAGCGGGAGAGAGCAGCGGAGGCGGCTGGCGGCCGTCGGAACCCAGCCGGCCGTCCAGATCGAGCACAAAGTGGTCCCACTCACTCTGGAAATGGACGGGTCGGAGGCAGATGATATCACAGAGAAGAGTTCAGCGGAAAACCGAGTACCGGGAAACGCTGGTGCAAAAACGTAACAAAATAACCCATAGACCAGCAATTTCCCGTAAAAATAGGTCAAAAAGCATATTGCGGGTGCCTCACACCTCCCAAAGTAAAAACAAATGACATTCTGAGGAGCGAACTTTGTGTACTTTGGACGCCACGTTGCGAATAATGCCGGTAGTGCTGCATAAATAGTGGGAGCAAAGTCCACCATTCCAAATGTTACCGTTCTATGTCAAACTGAGTCACTAATCACTATATTGCTGAAGCTTCATTGCATAGCGGTTAATGTGTCTAGACGTTCAAAAAGGTGGCAACTGGCCAATCAGCTGATGTGATCTGTGATCAAAACGCCATATCGCGAACGAGCCAAAGGCGAATCATGGGCGTTGATGTGCTACAGTTCTCGCCCTGTTCCTAGAAACATCCTATTTCGTAGTCAATTCAGTGCCTAATCCCTGTCAAGATGATGGAGAACAATTCCAGTCGCGACATAACGGTAGACCTATTGAACACTACTCGGCACTCTGCAGCTGGCACTCAGCTACACAAACAACATGACAAACACAGCATGTGCTCCCTAATGCAAAGGCGTCCGTTATATCGACATCAATAAGCGAGCTTAAATATCATGAGCAGGAAAAACAATAGAAAAATAATGCGAGACAGCAGGACTGCAACGATGTGTCTCGTAGTCTTCGCATGACTGAAGTCATTGTGATTAGCTAACAACAATGCCATAGATGGAGCGCGGAGCGCTTACCTCTCGATCAAAGATCAAAACATCCTCCTCATCACTCACCTCCACGTCTAGCAGGTGTTCCATTGCGGAGAAGATCTTCCGGCTGCCGGGCTGACCGGCCTGCCGTCGGACCAGCTCATCGAGCTCCTCCCGTGAGTGGACCCCGCAGCTGCCAGGGAGGGAACAGCTCGCGGTTAGACGGTGGACAGTGGGTGGACCCCACAGCCGCCGGGGAGGGGACACATCTCGCGGTAAGACGGTGGACAGTGGGTGGACCCCACAGCTGCCAGGGAGGGACAACTGGCGGTAAGACGGTGGACAGTGGGTGAACCCCGCAGCTGCCGGGGAGGGGACAGCTCGCGGTAAGACGGTGGACAGTGGGTGGACCCCGCAGCTGCCGGGGAGGGGACAGCTCGCGGTAAGACGGTGGACAGTGGGTGGACCCCACAGCTGCCGGGGAGGGACAACTGGCGGTAAGACGGTGGACAGTGGGTGGACCCCGCAGCTGCCGGGGAGGGGGCAACTCGCAGTTAGACGGTGGACTTGTAAATATTTGGGAAAGTTTTCAGGAGAGGCGTAACGACCCAAGGGGTGTTCATATAGCAAGAAATCTGACGAGATTTAGCTCTTGACGGACCAGTCGGTTTTATAAAAATCGACTTATTGACGGATCAAACTTAGTCCCAGTACTAGCTCCCACTGACCTTTCGAAGAGACGAGCATACGCCCCGATTAGCTTCCCGAACATTCCGATCTTGTTGCTGATGAATTCATCGAGGGTCACTGAAACATGATTAATTGTCAATCTAATACGTCCACATTAGCGTCGCCACGGGGGGGCAAGCGGGGCAGCTTGCCCCCCCCCCCAACCTCGGACCGGGCACCCCCTGAGATCGATACAGATCCGATGAGATTTTGGAGTCGGGAAAAAATGGGGGTACCTTTCTGAGAATGTCTGTGAGGTCAGACTCGGTTGGAGCGTGCAGTTTAAACCAGAGTCTGACTCGCAGTCGCCAAAATCTTCAAGACTCCGAGTCCAGACTCGGAAATGTCAATGCTGTGATTCATTCTATGTTCCTAGTTCGTTCTTTATTACATTTTACAGCTGATTTTCATAAGTTTTGGAGTGCTGACACAATTTTCGTTCAAAGCGTGAAACGAAATCTTCGGGGCCTTTCTCAACTCTCGTCAAATGTCTGCGAAATGCTCAATTACCGTACAAGTGTCGCAGGGCTCATGAGCTTGCTTTAAACAAAGGCTCCTAAGGAGCTCCACTGAGCCCTAAAGAAGCTTTCAGAGGGCCCAAACGGGCCTCTGAAAGTCCCACTGGTGTCCATGTTCTCTGAGGGCCCATACAGGGATCTTTGAGCCTTCGAACATTTCTGAGAACCTTAACTGGCCTCTGATAGTTCAGCCAAACTTTTGAGGCGACAGACTATGCTAACCCCAAGTCGGCATCTGAGGGGTCACAGCTCACGTGTCCCTCTGAGGTCCGCAACACATGTTTATTATGTCCCTACGTAAGGTCCTTAGGGATTCGACACAGACCCCGAGGGTTCACACTGTTATCCGAGGGCTCCAGGCTCACCCTGGGCCTAGTCTCTTAGCGCCCGCCGCCCACACTGGCTTCTGAGGGCCCCACCTTGGGCTCGGAAAGCCCTAAAGCACCACGTACACGTAAATATTTGAGGTGACCCACGCCGATCTCCGGGATCCTAAGCATGCTTCTGAGAGTCAGCACTGACCCTGAGTGGCCTGAAATGGCCTGGAAGTCCCAAACCTATCTCTTCTAAGGGATCCCTTGCTGCTATGCCGTGCGTAACTTTTGGTTCCGTTTAACAGTTTTTGTTCGCGTTTGCAGCGCTTCCCTTCACACGAAAAACGAGAAACTTTTGTTCACACTTGAGTGAACAAAACACTTCCTCTCATTTGAGCAAAGATGAATTACTTCCGATTCACACTTCAGACATTCACTCTCCGCCGAATGCCCAACTTAGCTACGATCGGTGGCTGGGATAAGTCCTATGCATTTCACGTAAAACCTCTGCATGCATGCGTGAATGGAGGTTTTAGCAGGGTGATGCGATTAAATGGAGCGTTTTTCACCTTTTTCTGGGTAATGATCATGAGCGTCGAGCGTCTACACAGCGGCCCTCTGCAGTGCGTCGGCAATCGCAGCCACTATATACTATAATTCTACCAGTCGTTTTTGTCATGAAATTTCAAAATTTCGAATTTTTCTGTAAAAAATTACATGTCATAGCTAGAAGAAAACCTTTGTCACCATCGGATTCCTCGCACCATTGCGCGTCGAGTGATATGTAGAACGAGTGAGTAAAGACTGGGGAAAGGCAAGTTTTAACACAAAAGTTGATTTTGCCCCCCCCAACCGAAAATCTCTGGCGACGCCTATGTACGTCCATGACGCGAATTGCTGTCATCATCTTGTACCGTGATTGCCAGGCACGACGCAAAAAAAAAAAACGGGTCAAGTTTCGTTAAAGAAACAAAGAACGAACAGCGTACACGGAGCAAGTGTTTTATTCTCCTCAGCCAACCAGTCTCTCCCAACTCTGCCAAGTTCCTCAGCCGACTAGTCTCCTACCTTTGGTGAGCTCCTGCTCGGCGGCTGCGATGGTGGCCTCTATCGTTTCGGCGAGGACCGCTGCCTCGGTCAGCACTGGCTCCACCGACGGCATCGTGGCCGCTCTGAGGGTAGGTTGACTCGGGAGTTGAGATTGCTGTCGCACACTTCACAGTTAACCGCATAAATTGGATAACATAAACGTCAACTCAAAGAGTAGCACAGTAGGAACGGATATACAGCAGACGTCCTGCGTCCGAAAAGGTTCGCTGCAGCCACAGCGTCGGCACCACCCTTCATGACAGCAGCAGCAGGACCAACAAATGCGAAAGGCGGCAACAATATCTCAGAGACTGGATGGATATGTTACCCGAAAACTCTCTCAAACCATCGAGCATCCCGGAGAAATGCAGACAGGAAAACGCATTTCACAAATCGAATACCCACCCAAACTAACCTTCCCTGCCGGAAGCTTCAACAATGCTCAGACTTGGCTATTGTCCCAGGGTGCGGCCGAACGTTACAGATCAACAGAACGATCGTATTTCACTAGAATACCGACGAAGCTGCCAGCCAGCAGCCAACCGCAGTCTACACAGAGTCGACTCGCCAGCTGCTCCCGGGCTACAGCTGGCACCTCGTCGGTAAGGTAAGCAAACTCTCCCGGCTATCGGCATCGCACATATACCCTCAACGCATCTGCGCCCGCGATATCGATCTTTTCTAAAACGGACGGAGAACACACACAGCCACAGGAGCCAGATACAGGACACGATAAGGCCGACAGCGCGACAGCGACCGTCCTCCGCCACGAACTCACCTCACGTCAGGAGAGAGGCACAACGCTCGCCGAGCCGTCACTCACGAGACTGAGCAGTGAGCACTGAGCGTTGAGCCGCAGTGATCCGTACTGAACAGTGCCCCATGCGTAGAAGCCCTCCCCATCCACTCGACTGGCCAGATAACCTACCCGCAGGGCACTCGATGACTGATCTCTGACAGGCACAGACACTCGACTTGAGTAAACAACCAATGTTACACAACGCACTTTGAACACCGTGTGTTTATAACGTGCACGGTGTAATTAGAAGGCGATGTTGAGGAGTGGTGCAAAGTTGC